GGACTGGAGTGCTGTGGATTATTGTGATGTTTTTATCAGCTCTCAATCTGACGGCACCCATTCACTTGCAGTTAGACACTGATGCAATTTCTCCAAACCTGAAGAAACAAACAAACTCATCTGCATCTGGGATGGCCTGCAGGTGAGTAAACTGTCAGCAAATAATCATTTTTGCCTGAACCAATCCTTTAATACAATAACTGAAGAAAGGCAGAAAGGACTCAATCTCAAGTCAATGATCTGTCCCAATTCTGGCACAGTTTAAACACACTTGTGCATTGTGAAAGTATGTACAAACTAAATCAAGATAACTAAATCAAGTTCCACTGCACCAGTGACAGGTATGACAACAAACTGCACATTCTGTTGGAGAGTAACCTCCCGTCCTGCGATATAAGGACACGTCTCTAGCGGGTCAGGGTCGCAGTAGTGTGTTTGGGTGTGGATCAGCTCTCGTGGGACGGACGACTCTACATCAGATCTCATATGACAGAGCCTTGCTTTGCCATAACTTAAATTCCAGGGTTGATTTTCCAGGCCACAGACGGCATAAAGGACAGCAGCTGTGCTTCACAACCTAGTGTAGTAGACATGAGCTCCCTAACTAGACAGCACTGTTGGGCATCAAGTGGCTGCCTTCCTAGACAGCACACACATACATCATTAAAATCAATTTAAAGATCAATTAAACCTCAGAACAGCAATCTAAAGAGCATAATGAGGGCAGATTAAATCTATTAGTTAAGCACTTTTACTCTTAACACACTAGACACTGAAGCAGCTGTTTCAATTAGAGCTGTCATTTTAACTAGCAGTTAGCTAGTACGTTAAGCTAACACTAATCAGTTGGTTAAATTAGCCTAAAGTCAATAAGAGTACTAAAATGGCATACAATTAATGTCTAGTTTTGGTTTACTTTAAACTAATTCACATTGTTGTTGTTTTTATTCTGTAAGTAACGCCAAAACACAGAGGCTAACAGCATTAGCATGCCAAGTTAAACTAACACTGACTCACAGACACCTATAAAGCGCATTTCAGACAGGTTTAACTCGTTAAGAACGCGAATAGAGAGACGAATTCTAATGAGTTCGTATTCAGGCCCTGCCGCAGCTCAGTCCCCGGGCTTTCCTGACAGCCGCGCCCGTCCAGGAGTGCTGGCAGCCGGATGCGGGCCCGCGGAGAGGCCGGTAGACGTGGAATGTCAACATGACGGATGAAACACACGCGCTCGGACGCGATTCAATTACGATCATTAGTTGTGTTTTGTCACAAAGAGTGTAAAAGAAGACGTGAAAGTATATAAACGTACCTTTTTCTTGGCTGCAGCGAGTTTGATTTGCCTGTTCTGGTCCGCCATCCTCTCGCGCTGCTGAGCGAAGCCAACGACACCACGTCATCAGATGATCGCGCGCGCG